GTGGCAGGAGTCTGGTTCAGCACCTCCAGTGCAGTGTGGGCTTACTTTGTAATCTGCATTTGACCCATTTCATGAATCATGAGTGTCTCATCAGCCAACAGTTCTGTGGCCCCAGCAGTGTGTTGTGTCCTCATACAGGAGTCTGCAGATGAGAAAAGAAAATGAATATAAAACATTTCAAACAGTTTTCTCTTTACAGTTTTCTCTGTTAGTAGTAGTTTACTACTGTACTTGCTTGTACTTGTGTTTAAGTAATAGTCAAAAAAAAATCTTACAGTCACCAATCAAGGATCCCTTCAGAATACGTCAACTACCTCTGATATTATTATTTGCCAAAAATATTTCACTAATTATTGACTGTGAAGGCCCGGACTAGCCCAGGACTAGACCAGGTCTAATCTTGGATGTGAGAGCGAGAGAGAGAAACCGCGAGACCATGGAGGTGTCCGCAAAGCACGATCAGGCGACAGCTGCTTTAGCGCCGTGGGGCGCAGAGCTCTGCGCCAGTCCTTTTGCCCGCGGTCACCCACACTCAATCCTGATTCAGTTCTGGTTTAGTCCTAGTTCGGTCCTGGGATCAGTCCTGGTCTAGTCCGAACCTTAATCTGCATGTGTCGCGCCTTCCCAGTGGCTCTTTGGCGCTTCCCAGAGGAGGCGAGCCTCACCTATTGAAAACCGCTGCACTAAAGTCTCTCTCAGCCTGGTCCATCGTTCCAGGCAAAGATCCAGAAATGGCACTTATTTTCAGGACAACGACGCTTTCTGTTCAAATATGAAAGTTTGAGTGGACTTTTCATCGCGTTAGCTCCAAATTAGTAGCTAAAGTTTTAGCTCAAAGCTCCGAGGTTCACACAGTTAACACAGTTTAAAACAAACTTATTTGACAGTTTTGTGGGTTATGACCGTAACACAGTAGATGAATATAATCAAATAAAAGCCACTTTACCGTAACAATCATTAGTCCCCGCTGTAGTTTATCGTCAGTCAGCTGTTTCTGTCTCTCTCAAAGGCAGATCCTTTCTCTCTGTCCAGCCGGTGTGTCTCTCCATTGAGCTGTTACACTGAGCGCCCCCTGCAGGTTTGGAGCACTTCCGTTGTGGTGAGTCTTTATGCAGCGTTTTCTTTTGCAGGTGTTTTCTTGGTTTTCACCGTTTCGCGCTTTGCGTTGTTTCTCTATTTGCAGCGCATTTGATGATAATGCATTTGTCTTTGTTTCTTGCAGCGCGTTTTCTTTTTCATTTGCACCACTTTTTTTTGTTTGTACCTCGTTTAAACTTGTGTTTGACCCTGTGAATTTGCATCGTTTCTGTACTTGAAGTTGTTTACTCTAAATGAGACGCATTGAGCTATTGCAGTGCGTTTGGCCCCCGTCGGCCACCGTACTGACGAGCCATTTTATTTATTTTTGAAAAATGGAAATAGCCAAAACGCAGGGAAGCGCGAGTTTTACCCATGGATCTATTAAAATAAATAAAATATTAAATTTTTTTTTTTGGCCGACAAACTATACGTTTTCGGAAACCTCAGGCGCATTGCTACGTGATGGCGAGGGTCCCTGGTCACTACGGGCGAGTCACGTCGCGCCATTCCATTTTTCGGCCACTTGGAGTTTCGCTGTGTGAAACTAATAGGCCCTTCGCCGGCCTTCGGCGCTCGGGCCTAACAAGGGTTACCGTGTAGCAAACTGCCATTATACAAAACTTAATATTCAGGGATTTCAGCTTCAAGTTAAGTTACAGGTGACATTTTGGGGACTTTTTACTATTTAAACGTTATAATATAATAATGCAGTCGGATTTTTTCATCATTCTGAAACCCATGGATAGGCTTCTCTGTTTCAATGTATGCTGGGTGAATTTAGTTAGCTAACGTTAGCAAAATGTTAGTTATTTTGGATGGTTAACGTGGGATAAACACTGTTGGGCAAGTTACTTTGAAACTGTAATGCGTTATTTATTACCTATTACTGTCATTTCAAAGTAATTCGTTACATTACAATATTACTGCATTTAAAATGTAAGGCATTACATTACTATTGCATTACTTTAAGTTACTCTCACCAAAATAACTTTTGCGCTGTATATGGACTGAACCAGGACTAAACCAGGTCTAAACCAGGACTAAACCAGAAGTGAACTAGGACTAAACTAGAACTGAACTAGGACTAAAACAGGACTCACTGTAGGGAAGGGCTCGAAGGTGACCGCAGGAGAAAGGAGCGGCTTTGCTCCGCACCTCACGGAGGTTAAGAGCGGCTGTCACCCGATCGCTCTTTATGGACCCTGATGCTCGGGCTCGCGACCCTGATTTCAGCAACTATTTGCAGGTACCCGAACCGGTGCAAGACTCTGTTACAGCGCGTAACTTCTACCTTCCTTCAGCGTGTCCAGAAGTCCAACTTTTTGTGTGATGGTTTGCATCTTCCTCTGCCTTTTGGGTGCGAGCGCAGGAGCCTTTGTCGGTGCAGAACGTTTCGTCGACGTTGTGGGTTTCGTCGGGGAGAAAACTTGCAACCGTACAGCACTTCAGAATCACACTACTAGAGATTAAACATGTATTTAAATTTGGCAGCTGAACACATTCTGTACTGTACTGTACAGGAGACAGGAGTCCCTTGGCCAGTCAGGACGCAGCGGGAGGAACGCAATACGCATTCATACAATGTAAAAAAAAAAAAAAAAAAAAAAAAACAGGGCATGCAAAATTGCACAAAAAAATAAAAAAATCTGCGAGACAGCGAAAAGTGAACTGCGATAGAGGGAGGGACGAGTGTAAACCAGGTCTAAACCAGAACTGACCCAAGTCTAAACCAGGTCTAAACCAAAACTGACCCAGGTCTAAACCAGGTCTAAACAGCGTGGAGTTCTTTGTCAGTCCTTTCGCCGGTTCCTGAAGGTCTATGAGGGCGCATCTCCGGCGTTTCACCGCTGCTGATATCGAGGTGATTTTAGCGAATTTGTATGAAGAAAAACCCACCACTTCAATCCAGGTTAAAAAAAAAAAAACACTGTAACGCGCGTTACTCACATTTGTACCGAGTAAAATATTACTATTTTTTCCCCTGTAATGCCTTACATTACTGCGTTACAGCAAAAAGTAATGCATTACTGTAATTCGTAACTTTTATAACGCGTTACTCCCAACACTGGGGATAAAGTGATCTTGTGTTTTGGCCTATTTTGCTAGAATAAATAGAGATTAGAGATTAGCACAGATGAACAAAAACAACACACATATATAAAATAAATCGGTGAGTTTTCAGTTTGTAATTTGATTCAAACTTTTTACGCACCTGTTGCTCCGTACTTTCTTCTTCTCCCTTGGTCACCGTCTGTATTTCAGAGCTCCTTTATGCGCGTAATGAAACATCTAACTTGTTACAGGAGTAAACCTTCGACTCTCAAATTAATAATAAAGTAACATAGTTCATTTCTTTAGCAACACGTTTATGAAGCTTGTGGGGCACATTTTGCGGGTCCAGGAGAAAGGAAACAAACAGAGCTCCATGGCAACAGAACGCGCGTAAAACCCCGGAAAGAGAAAGACGCACGGGCTGCCTGCTCCTCAAGTTGCCTCCTCAAAGTGTGGCCCGGTGCCCCCTGGGGAATCTCAAAAGAACTGCAGTTGGAATATCATTGTTTACATTTACAACATCAAGATTTTTCATGTTTTTATCTTTTACTCAAAATATAAGAAGAAGAACATTGCATAAACTTTTATTTTGAAAGAGAAGTTTTACTGCTGGGCGATTTTATTACGGCTATAAGTCTGCCGTAAAAACTGAAAAGAAAGTATTAGGGGGCGCCCGAAAATTGTAAAGAAAGAGGATTACCACATGTAACTCTAACTATAAAATACTAACCCTAATGCATCTATAGGTTAAATTACATGTTAATTTAGGGTATCCCACAATTGCCTTTGCTTTCCCCTTGACCAAAGAACATAGATCAATTTACATAGAAGTAGAAGACTTTTTGTTCGCTTGATTGACAAAGAAAATGTGGCTCTTTTAGCCTTTATTAAAGACATCAACCCTTTCCACTATGAATAAAGTACTATGCACAAAATTACCGCTTTCTCGGGACACTTGGTGTTTTGTTACATTGGGGTCTACTGAAATGTTTACGTACAGCAGGTGGCAGTGACGCGTAGCAAACGACAGATGAAGTTACTGAGCCGAGCCAGCAAGTCCAATGGGCTAGTGAAAGGGAAAAAATATATACATTATAATGGTTTAATAATTATAGAAAAGTTGTATTAGAACTATTTTTTTTTGTTGTTGTTTAGTTGTTTTTTCTTTAGACTAGTTTTAGATTGTCCTCTTTTTTACATAGACTAGTTAATTAAAGGTGCATTATAAAACTTTTCTGGTAAGGGGTCTTCCTACTCATCATGTTAATGTTTGTGATTTGTTTTGATACATCAGAAAAATACATCAGAGAACATCATAGAAATAGGTTAAGCTTGACAACATTGTCCATGGAGAAAGATCATTTTACTGCCATGCTTTGGAACATTCTTACAATGGTGGAAACCTTATATAGTGCAGCTTTAAAGGGCCCGTATTAAGGTATTTTCAGATGTCATAATGTTGTGTTCTCATCAAAAATACCTGGAACTGTGTTTTGTTTCTTTCACAAATGTTTGATACTCACAAACTCTAGAGTCTGCACACACTCTGTTCCACCTCTTGCTTCACTGTGTTTTAAACTCTATACAACCTTCACTAGAATCATTTGGATAATTTCAGCCCTGGAATTGGCAATCTCTACTGAACAGAAGGTAAAAAGTAGCTGTAAACTTGCTAGGTGGAACAGAGTATGTTGAGCTTTGGGAATATAATAGTCCAGGATTACTCAAACATGTGTAAATGAAACAAAACACAACTCTGGGTATGTTTTTGATGACAAAAACAAGAGTCAATTAAACACAGGATTTAAAGTAAAGGTTAGAAATTACTGCCAAATCAAAAACTGAAAAAACAGTAAGCACAAAGCCACTCTCCACTTCTGTGAAACTCTGTATTTCAGGCACATGTGAAAAAAACAAAACAAAAAAAAAAAAACATACAAAACACTGCAGGTACCTGTAATTGGTGATAAAGTGGTAACACAAATATCTATAAAATATGTACATTCTTATCTTTCAAAGTTATATCTTGCATAGAAACTTACAAAATTACATCCCAGCGCATTATGTGGCTGTTTCTTGCTTATAAATATACATTAAAACGGTCATATTCATTCATGTAAAAATAGAAAAAGTACTGATGGTGACTCATAATAATAAAGCATATATTTCTTTCAATTTCAGAGTATCTACAACAAAATAATTCTTCATCTTCTTCATAACAGAGGTGGGATTTATGTCGTAGAAACAAGGCTTAGTTAAACTTCAGTATTTGTTTAGTTTAATCAAAATTACACAGTACGAGGCAGCAGCTGAGAGATTTTAAAACTCTTATCTTTCTGGTTTTACATCGGACCATATTAGGAGACACTGACAATCCACTTTTCCCTCTGGCCAGAAATTGTCTCCTGCTAAGATTCTTCAAACAGTTGAAAATGGATCTTTGTTTTGCCCTCGTATAACTTTGGGATTTAATGAGAATGTATATAATGTCTGTTCATAACATTATAGTTATCTTCTATAAGTAAGCACAGGTGGGGGCACTGCTGAAGGCCATCTCAGTACATTGGGATAGCCTGTGTTTTGCAGAAAGAAGAAATACATTATCAAGCCCTTTGCTGATGTAATTTAAAGGTTTAAAGATGCAACTTTTCAGGTAGAGGGTCCATCACCTTTGTCCCCATGGAGATGTCACTGCTTTGCCTGGAATGTTTCACCATATAGCATTAAATTTAACTGTCTTATGTTAAGTAAATTACAACTATTTTATTGCTCAAAAATACATAAAAAACATGCATTCTCATTGTCAGCGTGGTCACCTCTCCACAGATCTGACCTGTAACCTGGCCTTGTAGTGTTACTTGCTTGCTTCTTTGGAAATGGATATGTTTAATGCTGTGCTGTAGAAAATTCAAGTCAAAACAAAGATATCTCCATGGAAACAAGCATTTGGCGGACCCTCCACAATACATTGTTATACATTGCACTTTTAAATATAATACCAACATTGTTCAACTACTTGTTTTGTTATTGCTGTCATTTATCTTCTGTAGCTGTATGCATAATCTACATAAACCTCTTTTAAAGTTTCTCCCACTGTATTTCTGAAAATAGCCTAAAGGCTCTTTGTTTTGCCATTGTATGATTTATAAAATGTTGTGGTTTGTGACAGAGCAGGGAGTGACTTCATTTGTGCACATAAGAATGGTGGTTTGGCCCTGTGTCCCTCCCCTGGACTGTTGAATCACACTGCATTTTTCCAAGACAATTGGCATTGAGCGTTATGTTTCTGGGAATTGAATTGTGGTCAAAGTGAAACTGTAAGTAACAAGAAAAAAGAACTAACTCAGGAAAAGAGTGAATGAAAGAGGCTGTGGGAGGACCCAGCTCACAAGACAAGGAACAATCCACAGTTTTATCAGCTCCACCGGCTTTCATCTTTCATCTGGAACAACTTCTATAGAACTCTAATGTAGGAGTTTTATATAACACTGAAGTGGCTTTTTAGAAAATAAGAAGAAATAAAACTGTCTTCAGTAACAGTCTTAAACACAGGAAAGCTCCAGATCACACAGAAAAAAACTGTTTGAAAATGCACTTGCCTGTGGAAGGGGCACACACTAAACTAGTATTAAGTCACCTCACCCAATCAAAGAAATGTAGGGTACATACATATACACAGTATGTGCCAACAAATGCAGCAATCTCATTATATTATCATTGAAATGCGACAATGACAACAACAAACAAGTAAAGAAAAGTCTAATAAGTATCGGCCAAATACACTCTAGACTTCAGCTGGTGTTGGAAAATGCAGCATATGAATGGAGAAGCTGTGTATAAGCTTGTTCTTTGTCTTCTCCTCAGTCTGACTGTTGCCCTTTTGTTTATGAAAATGGACACGCTCTGTTTTGCACTGCAAAAGTGAGCATGGAGCTTATGTCATTGATTAAACAGGAGTCAAGACTCTTTGAGTAAAATGCCATATTGTGCTGCCTTTGAGCAGATACAGTAATACAGTACAATAATAAGTCTCTTGTTCCATTCAATCTTCACTCAGTCTTCATTTGCTCAGTCTTAGACATGTAGAGTCAGTAGCTCTGAGAGTTCTTGTCTCTGTTTCAGTTTTAACCCCTCTACATACTGTCTCGTCATCTTGTCTCCTCATTTACTGTGATACTGATATTTAACTATTTTGATGACTTTATTTCTGCTGCTGATCGTCTGCAATTCTGTAACAGAAAGCGCCCCTTCACTTTGTCTCATAGAGTAACATCCCACTGAACACTGTGAAGGGTTCAGAGGAGTATCCCAGGCGTCCGGTCACCAGGTCTATGCACACTGTGTCTCCAGCCTGTAGATCCAGGATGATGTTGAACACAGCCACAGCTCCGGGGATATGCTTGGCCTCTGCCATGGGCTTCTCCAGACCCTCGGGCTGATACCCAGCTGAGTCCACCCGCGCCACGCCTGTGTTGGATTTGGACAGGACTGCCTCAATCTTCATGTTTTTGTGACCAGTGAGAATACTGAAGAAGTACTTTCCTTGGACTGGAGCTGTGAAGTAACCTGCAAAGATGAGAACGAGATAAGCTTTTATTGTGATTAGATTTTTTTGAGTAACCCTGCATGGTTAGTCTCTTAGGAGTCTAAAGTTTCTAAGGTTTAGGTTCCTTTTATTGGGAAATTCTGCATTTGGCCCACCGTTCAATGCCACTGAGTCACCCTGCCAAGAGCAGTTGGTCAAGAACTTTGCTGGAAGAGTCTACCAATATTATGGTGTATTTTTGGGTTGATGGGGGAAACTGGAGGACCCACAGGAACCCCACCCAGGCACAAGGAGAAACATGCAAACATTGCACAGAGAGGCCTGGAACCTTCTCACTGTGAGGGGCAAGTGGCTTTTCAGTCACCTTTTAAAATTGTCCCTGTAGGAAAACTCCAGACTCTCCTGAAAGTACTGACCAATCAACAAGCCCTGTAGATCTATTAAAGAGAAAAACATTTGTCTTGCTTCTCCAAAAATGACAATCGTTGTATATTTTTTTATTCATGCTGCAGTAGGAATTTCCTGTCTTGTTTTGAGAAATCCAACAGATGTCTGCGATCACTCAACAGAATATGAGGAAAAGTTAAACTGGTCTTAATGTTTTTTTAAGTCCTTTATTCAGAACAGCCCTTTAGCTCCAAAAATAATCTTGTATCAGATTGATTTCACTATCCCAGACCATGTTATTGGCTTTCATGACTCAAGCTGCTGGTGGCCGATGGTTGTTGAGGTTAAAGCCATGAAATAAGACAAGGGTCATTAGTCGTTTTATTTCCCAGCACTCAGCTTCCTCTAATCGGTCTTGAGACACAGTATGTCTCTGCTGATGGTTTTAGGGCGTTTTCTTTTCTCCAACTGAAAGGGCTCAGAACAAGAGTAAGTGAAAAGAAGAGGTTAAAACTTCAGGTTGTTAAAAACGAAAAAGACAAAAGAAAGCAACAATTGTGTTAAAAGTAGTTAAAGAGAGAGGACTGATTTATTGCAAAAATGTGGGATGAAACTTCAACTTCAAAATCAAATTAAATAAAATATACAAACCTACACTGGAGAATTTTATCACAGTTTTACATATTTTATTTTATTTTAATGTACCAAGCAAGTTCTTGTGTTCATGTGTTTTAAGATAAATGTATTTTCTTTATATTTGTGATTTGTATCTCACCTGTTCTGGGGTTATAAACATTGTCCTCATTGACAAAGACTTCATTGAAGGGGATAGTTCCAACGCCTCTCATTGGTCGAGTTAGAGCAGCAGAGAAGGAAAGGCGGGGCACGTGGGCATCAGTGCCTGGAAGACCTACACACAGAGAAACACATTATAAATCACAGTATAATAAAACTCTATTCAGTTTAAACTTTATTTATTACAAAGACACATACCTTGTTCCCCTCTGAGTCCTGGTAAAAACAACAAAGGAAAGATGTGAGTAAGCTATTCATTACTTTAAAACCGCAATACAAATGTATATGTGTACTAATATGTTGAATTATTTTTAATGTCTTCTTTAAAATAAATGAAGATACCTGGAGGTCCGACTGGCCCCTGTTTGCCCTCTCGTCCTTGGGGTCCCATTCGGCCTTGGGGTCCAATCACACCCTGCAGTCCACGTTCACCCTTTTCTCCTCTCGGACCTGGCAAACCTTGAGGACCTGCAGAAGATAAGCAACCAAACATTTACTTAATGAATATTGTATGAATATTGACTATGATGCTAAACTGGTCTTCTTGACTTGAGTCTGAGGCAGGTGCGTGCAGAGAATGAGGTCCATAAATTCTAATCTATTTCATTCAAACTAAAGAGTCAATACTAACCTACAACTAACCTACGTGCTGTAGCACTTTGAGATTTCCATGGCAACTTGATGTCCAATTTGTCCGACAGCAAACTCAGACTTATTTACAATTTAGCCTGCACCCAAAACAAATACAGTATCTCTGATCTCTAGGGATGATCTCAAAATTATACTGTGAAATGTTTGTGTTTGGCCATAAAATAGGGTTAACTCAGGTTAGTTAGACCTCTTGAGAAGCTGTAGTTCCAAAAGGCAGTGCTTTATTTATTGCTCAAAAGTATCTTAAAAAAGTGAATTCTTACAGTGAATTCGCCTCGCCACAAATCTAACCTGTAATTTGGCTTGCAAGTCTCCATGGAGATTCTTAACTTCATGGCCATACTGTGGAACATTGTAGGCACATCTCCAAGGAGACAAGCAGGTGACAGACGCTCCACGGGATAAGTTACACAGTGCAACTTTATGTCTTGTCTCATCTTCTGATCAGTAACCCTCTCCCTTCAGACTCACCAGTGAAATCTTGTTTTACAAAGTCATGGAACTCCGTGGCCAGGTCGAGCAGTGAGGTGTTAAGCTTGTTGATGTTTGATCGGACCTTCTCCAGCTGAATGTCGCGGATATCGTGGATCACCTCCCCTTGCCCGATCACTGTGGCATTCAGTCCATTCACACAGCTCCAAAGGCCGGTCACGTGACGATTCAGACCCTCCTTGATTCTCTCCAGAGTGTCTGAAAAGGAGTCGAATCGCCCACAGACGCCCTCCAGTTTGGACAGTCTGCGGTCCAGGCCATCACTGGAGCGTCTGCACTCTCCCACCTCTGTCAGGTAATTCCGCTTCAGGATTTCAATCTCTTTTCCCAGGGTCCCGAACCGGATCTTGGAATCTTCAGTGTGGAGTGTCAGGTCTTTTTCCAACTGGTCCACCTTTTGAGGAAGAAATAATATAATAACTTAAGAAACTCTATGGACACAGGGGGTATCCATGGGTTTCAGCTTCCTGTTACATGATTTTGAGGACTTTTCTCCATTCAAAGGATATAATTTTTAAGTGTTAATCGATATTAATCGCTAAAGGTCCTAATTTCTCATTATTTTGAAACCCATGGATAAAATATTTGTTTCATATACCCTGTTGCATTTCCTTTAGTCATTTTAAATAAATCACACTTAAACTTCAACATTTTACTTATATCTCATGAGAAATATTATATTTAAAGGTGCACTATGTAACTTTACAGATCTGCACTTGCTTTTCACCATGTTGTGTCTTGGTATGTCATTGCTTTGCCTGGAATGTTCCACAGTATGGTATTAAATTTATCTCCACTGAGCCAACCACGTGTAGCTACCAGACAGAATAACAGGTCAAAGGTGAGCCACACCACAGTAAGAATGCATGTTTTTCATATAAATACACTTAACCCCATGCTGTGGAATATTCCAGGAAAAGCAGTATTATTCAGAACTCCATACAGAAAAGCTGGGGGCCACATACCCCTCACCAGAACAGTTACAAAGTGCACATTTAAATAATAATACTCAAAACTTCATAAACCAGGAAAGGCGTAGAGGAGACATTGTTTTGTATTTGTTTAAATCAGAGTGAAAGAAAAACAAGCTCATTGTCCCTAACTTGTATTCCAGATAACATTTAGTAACATTCATACTAAAACTTAAAGATCCTATATTATGCAAAGCTGACTCTTGTGAACTTTAAGTCAGGTTAGAATGTTGTTACCTCATCAAACACATACCTGGAGTTGTGTTCTGTTTCGTTCACACATATTTGAGTAACTGAGAATCATAGGGTTGTTTGCATCCTATAAGCTCAAAATGCTCTGAAGTGATAGTTTAACAGCTACCTTTTACCTTTTGTTCAGTAGAGATTTGCAGTTCTAGGACTGAAATGATCCAAATAATTCTAGTGAAGGTGTATGGAGAGAGAACATCACAAAGTGGAACAGAGTTGGAGAGAAGATCTCAGCCTAAATATACAGAATTACTGTGTTCAACAAAACATAACTCCAGGTTTGTGATGAGGACTCAACATCAGAACATCAGAAAATAGTGTAATATGTGCCCTTTAAAATTAAGTTCTTAAGTTGAAGATGTTAAAAAAAAATACATTAGAATGGTTATTTTGAAATAGCAGCACTATTCCTTGCCTATTTCAATACATTTTTGGCTGCACTACCACCTCAAGTTGCTGGTTCTATCAACGTAGTTCCACTATAAATACACACTCCTCCCGCTGTGCCTATGGTTTATTTTTGTACAACATGTTACACACACAAAAATATGGGTGCATATTATCAAAGCCTTACCGGTCAAAAGGAGTCAAATATTTTCCATATATTCTCATAATATTGTGTGAAACAGCTGTGGTCAAGATTATTGTTTGATTGACAATGTGCTTTCACAGCAGACCACAAGGGAAATTACCATTTTTGTGGGCGCTATACAAATGATTAGACCAATTAACAGATATTATGCCAATGGAAACAGGAGAGTCTATGCTCTGTTTTCATTTTGACCATAAGAAAAATTGTTGGGTTTGGATTTTAATTGTAATTGTAATTGTGTGGGTGTGTGAATTAGTAGATTATGGACAAATTGCTTTGACTATAAGCAACACAAAAACACACACATTTGCAGAGATATTAGATATTAGATATTACCATTGCTGATCAGGTGACGTGAAGTATTAGGCCCTAAAAGTACTGTATGGTTAGCCACATTACAGGCAACAGTGTAAAATGGTGTTTATACATTGAAATTATATTAATGGAATTGTGTTTTCAAGTTCTTTGTATGTTTTACACACTTTCTCCCTTCTATTTGTATGCTTAAGAAATCAGGGTTTGTGGTGAAAGGTCTACCACCTGCTTGTCTCCATAATTGCACTTATTAAATTACAAGTGTTTTATGCCTCAAAAATACCTTGAAAACTTAAACATTTTGGCGGGATTAGACGTTGCGGTGTAGAGAAAGTGAGTGGGTGTAGGAGTTTTTATTTTGTTTGTTTAATTTTTGTTCTTATTTTTGTATAATGATAAAATCAATTTAAACATTTAGCCTGGTGACCTGCTTGTCTCCCTGGAGATAGAGTTTAATGGTGCGTTCATTTATCCATCTTACGCAGATGTCCAAGGACGTTGCCTAGCGACACACACTGACACGCCCCTTTTCCTCGGATGGCGCAACTCGGACCTTAGAAGAGCTTGGAAGAGAGCAAGTGAGAATTCCAAGTGTCAATATAAGCGCCTAGTGTCACTTATAGTATGAAGTATTTTCATTGTGTTTGGACACTTTAGTGGTTTGAATGACAATTTCAGCATTATTGCAATACCTTACTGTGTCTGTATTACTACCTATGGGTATGGTAGTCAGTGTCACCCATGTTTTTAGCCCATTTCCTGCTAGCTAACATGCCAAAATTATCTACTATCAAGCAACACCAACGCTTTCACTTCACTAATATACTGAATTATACTATTTATACAGAATTTTTCCTCGAGGTTGTGTAGAAGCATATACTTTATTTTGGAGTGCCTGGTACTCAGCCAAAGCTAAAGCAACAAAAGCTTTCCGGTTAGCGTCCATGGTTTTCTCCGAATCAGACACACGAAACATTATAAAATGATTGAAGCATGCACATGGCCTCATATTGGAGATCCGAGTGGGAGACAGATGGATAAACGAAAGCAGCATGTTTCATACCAAACTTTAAAAAAAATCTAACTGGACGGTAACAGATGGTGGACCCTCTTGCAGAAAAGTTACACAGTTCACCTTTAATAAAATAGTAAAATGTATCATCTCACCTCTGTCAGTATGTTGCGATTGCTGCTGGTTAGATCAGTTAGCGTGTTGCCATGGCCCTTGACAGTTCTACCCAGACCCTTCAGCGTATCATTGAAGGAGCTGAATATGTTTTTGACTCTGTCCAGTTCTCCCTGTATGGACTTCAGATCTCCTCCCAGTTTCCCATTTTGACTGTTGTGTCCATCCAGTCGGTTTTTCAGATCATTGATGTTGACTTTACATTGTCCGGTACACTCCTCCACCTCCTCTCTCAGACGCCCTACTTCCTCCTGGAGATTTGAACACACTTGGGAGCATGTGGATTCTTCATTGTCCACTTTTCGTCTCAAATCGGTCAGTTCTGTTTGACATTTGTTTAGACTTGTCATTGTGGTGTTGCTAAATTTCCTTAAATCATCTTCTACCCGGCTACAAACTGAGCAATCTTCAATGTCTCTTCCTAAAACTTCAACTTCAGTCACTATCTGATTGAAGCGCTCACCGTTGTCTCCTGTAATACCTTTGATTTTCTTCACGTCATTGGTTAAAACGATTACTTTGTCAACCAACGAATCTCCAGAAATCGATAAATCGTTTAACCTTGTGTTGAACTTTTTAATTTCATCCTGGTTGGCAATAACTTTCCATTCTAAAGTCTTAACAGTGTCTTCAGTTTTGTGGTGGTCCTTCGTCTTCTTCGCACAAGTCTCATTGCACAGTTTAGTGGTTTCTTTCAGCTTTTTATCCAAGTATGATGTGATATTTTCGAGATGGTTCAAACGCCTGCTATGGTCCCTGACTGTATCTCCAAGAACAGCAACATCTAGCTCAACTTTTCCAATTTTGAAGCTATTATCATCCAAGCGTCCAAGCACTAGATTACGTAATTGGGTCACATCTCTTTGAACAGTGTCTTTCAAATTGTTACCAGTATTTGTAAATCTTTGCTCTGTTTTCCTCATCGTATTGTTCAACCTTTTCTCCAACTCCCTCAATCTGCCATTTAGCTTGTCTTCTGTAACTTTACCCTTCCCGCTACCACCTGCACCTGCCAGCTCCTTGTCCAGGCGCCCTTTGATTATGTCACATTTGTTGGATGTGGAGGTGACCGTTGCTTCAGTGTCCGTGAGCCTCTTCTCCAGTTCAGTGAGGGAGTCGCAGCAGGTTTTTGAATGCCCAGATTCAGAGCGGATGATCTCAAGACTTGTTCGGACATGTTGGTCCAAAGAGCTGACCAGTTTCTCCAAAGCCCGTATACGCTCACGGTCCTCCTGTTGCTGCCGCCTCAGGTCCTCCACTCCCGCCTACGTATAAAGAAGAAAAAAATCTTGTATGAAATTGTAGGAAATGCAAAGGTCCTATAAGGAAAAAGTCCTACATTACACAAAATTGACTCTTGTGAGCTTTAAGTCATGTTATAATGTTTCTCTTTCAAAAACATATTTGTAGTGTTTTGTTTCATTCACATACATCTGAGTAATCCAGGATTATTTGTCTGTCTATAGCTCTCAAAATGCTCTGCTCTACCTTGTGATTTCAAGAAGCAGTAGTTTTACATTCTGTTTAGTAGAGATTGGCATTTCTGGACTAAAATTATCCAAATGATTCTAGTGAAGGTGTATAGAATTTAAAAACAGAGTGGAGCACTTCCTGCATTACCACATGACATCAAAAGATGGAACAGAGTGTTTTCAGTTTCAGAGAAGAATTCAGCCTAAATATGCAGTGTTTGTGTTAAACATTTAAGCATATTTTACCATAATGAGACTGCAGTGTTAATCAGTTAATAGTTAAGCTTCAAAATGCAAAGTCATAAATTAATTATTAATTTAAAAATGTATTCACTGACGAACCCATAAAACCAACACTCACTGAACCACAATAACAAAGCATGTATAAAATGAGGTAATTACTATCTGAAGAACCTTGATAAAACATTGGTAGATTTCCATGTACCTGGCAGGCAGAGCAGGACAGAGTGACCCTCCTCTCCAGCTCTGTGAGGATCTGCTCCTTCATAGAGTTCAGCTGAGTCCCTGTGACGCCTCCCCCTCGGCCCCCGCCCTCCAGCTCGTTCCCTCCGTTCACCAGGTGGTTATTTATGTTCAGCAGAGTCTGGTCATGCACCTTTAGAAAAATACATATTTGAACAATATATTCCACTGCTTCCACTTGGTATTTTTAGTATATACCACAGATGAAACAATAATACTTAAGAGATGTACAAATGAAGTAAGCCTGAATAATTGACAATATACAGTCTTTAACCGGTGTGTAACCTTGTCTCCATGGGGATGTTGTTTATATGCCTGGAATGTTTGTCCTGTATTGCCTTACACTTATTTAGCATTGAGTGTCTTTTATTGCTCAAAAAACATGTATTCTTACTGTGAGGGAATCACAGTTACTTGCTTGTTAGCAGTGCTAACTTGTCTGTATGGAGTTTAATTCAATACTGTGGAATATTCTACACGAAGCAATAAACTTTTTATGGAGATAAGTAGGTGCCGAACACTCCACCACAAAAGTCAGTGCACATTAAAAATGTTCCCACATCACATGAACTCCACTACAGATTGTCTGGCTTTAAGCTCTTCTTACCTCTGTCCTGTTGTAGAGGTGGTCCAGTTTGTTTTGGATGTTGTTGATGGTTTCTTTCATGTGAGGCTGTGCAGAGTCAGATGGGGTTATGCTCCCAGTCAAACCAGGACTGTCAGGAAGAAATCATAAAAACAATATGTGAAATCCTGTCAGAAAAGGCATAGGCAAAAGGCAATGTGTTGTGAAGACAAATAGAGGAACTAAGGACAAACAAACAAGACAATGTGATTGCAGGATATTAAGTTAAGTAAAACATGATCCTACCCTTTGGTCTAATTTAATACATTTAATCTGTGTGTCCAGATACTACAGAAGACAAGACAAGACAATAACAAACTGTGGCTAATGAGGTCTTTTTCCTAAAGGCAAGCTTGTCCAGTCAGACCTATTCAGTCATTAGCAATGGAAGATAGTAACAGCAACATCAAATGCTACTGTAAGAAATACTTTAAAAATGGCAAAGATAAGTTGTTATTTTGTCTGGAAATGGGCACTTTTTTAGAAAGCAACTAATCACATTAAAGGTTAATTATGAATGGACAAGCTTTACCAAAGCTTATTACCAAATAAGCCTCCACAGCAGCCAACATTCTTGAACAGAACTGGTCTGTCTTTAGAATGAGAGCTGTTTAACATGTATATGATATCTGTAAACTAATGTCTACTATTGTAATATTTATATACTCACTCAGATGACCGTGTTCTTATTCGACACCTATAGTGATTGATAGAATGGTGAATCTTTTGGTATTGTTGTACAATATAGTCCATTTCTATTTAACATAGTTTACATAATATTTTAGGCCAATTGATGCTTTACAGTGACATCATGCCAGGGGTGGTTGCCATGGTGACACAATGCACACAATAGCAAATACAAATAAGTTTCAAGATACTGAAAAAATACAAAAGGATTTAAAGTGCTAATTTTCAGGCACCTGTGATGAATACAGTCATTCAAGGTCCTTTAGGTTTAGGTGTTTGATTTTCAACAAAAATGTGAGAGTGGCTAACTAAAAAACTGTTGGATAATACAAGCTACCTTCTGACTGTAATTTTATAAGAGAGGGAGTTGTTTAACAAATCATCTCCGGCCAAGTCAGCTCCTTCTGGTCAGATTGTGTTCAAATAAAACTCAGGTCAGATTAAGTCTAACTTGAGTAACAAAGCTTCAGACAGAGCAGTGCTTTCAGTTAGTTTCACACTTCTGGGGAATAATGATGACATCAGCTGGAAAGTATCAATAGATTTACTACCTTGTTTCATTGTGTTAATTAAAAAGAGATTCAGAGCAAAACTACATGTAAAACAGTATTACATTCTTCATGAATACACTGTAGCCCTGTAGAGTAGATAAATTATAATGGTATGTGCAGATTCTGCCAAAGATATTAACTCTGGAACAGAACACTGGTCTCCACTCATGGGAGACAGTGTGGGGACTACATATCATATTTACTAACAAATCTATATGCCATCTTGTAGTCTCATATAGATTGATGGAAACTCTATGGTTGTCTATCTGGAAGACTGTTTACATGTGAAATTCTCATTAGGCTCTCCGGAGTTTATATCTTTCTATGAAAAATATGCACTGCTAAGCTCTATCTACACTGACTTACCCTGGCAAATAACAAGTACATATACAGATAACATGGACAAACTGGCGTATTTTGAGAATCCTTAAAGGTGCACTATGTAACTTTTTGGTTCATACATAAACCAGTTCCACAGTATGCCATTTAACAGCTCTACCTAGTTTTATAGCTCAAAATTATTCAGAAAAACAGGCATTTTGACTGCGAGCAGGGCTGCCTATCCACAGATCTGACCCCTAGCTTGGTCTAGCTCAGTCTACATGAAGATAGAAAGGTTTAATGCCATACAGTGAAACATTCCAGACAAAGCAATAACATCTCCATGAAGACAAGTATTTGACTGACCCTCCACCAGAAAAGCTACACAATGCACCTTTAACAATATAATAACAAAAAAGCTGTGAATTTATAAAGCACTAGTGTAATGTATTAGTATCGTATTTGAATTACACATACAGTTTTTGGTTGATGCCATTGATAGTGGTCTGCATGTTGTGGAGGTCTTTGGTCAAGCCTCGAATGGTCTCCTCCAGCACCCGGATCTTCTCATTGTCACCTGCAAGACAAAAATAAATTAATAAAATAAAATAAAACCAAAGCAGTAAGACTTGTAGTTTGCTATCAGCCACTGCCTCTCTTTCCGAAAGCGCTTCCTCTAAAGTCCCTAATTTCTTTCTGCCTCTTTTACCTCTTCATACTCTCCTTCTCCTCCTCATCACTATTGCTTATCCATGAGTTTCAGAATAATTACAATTTAAAACTAAATATTATATCTTTTGAATGGGAAAATCCTCAAACCCATGAACATTTGGAGGTCAAACTAATCAAACTATTCAGAGAAGGGTAATCCTTCACTATATTCCTGATTACATCTAACCGATTTCTTATTTGCCTCAGTCTCCTTTGTAGTATGGGTATTGAAGTATTTGTGAGTATTTTGTGTAATGATTAAACAATGTTGACTACATAAAGCAGTCTCAGAGTCACTGGGCTGTGACTCTTCTCCTGTGTCCCCCTAATGAGTTGAACAGAGCACCAGTGTTACATAACATTATATGGACATTAGTTTGTACACTCAAAGGAAAACAGCAGTTTCAGTACAAAACAGACATTAAAAAGCATTTTGTTATTCTATATAATGTAGTTTAGGTTTAGAGAAGGTAATTAATATCCTGCAGTTGAATAAATTTGTGGATCATCCAAAGCAGAGCAATGACATATCCACAGAAACAAGCAGGTGACGGACCCCCAACCAAAAAGCTACACAGCGCACCTTTAAGGGTTTATATATTCCCATTTGACACATAAATACCCTATGAGTACCTACATTTTGACATGATGAATATTAGTCAATACCTCCTGCCCCTCCTCCTCCTCCTCCTCCTCCTCCTCCAGGGTTGTAGCCCGTTTGGCTGACTCTGGGACGTCCTGTGTGCGTCGTCGTGGGGACCCGTGGACCCTCATGACAGTCTTCTCCGGAGTAACCATGGCAACATTTCCACTCCATCTCTGTCACCATCTTATAGGCCACCTTATACCGTGGTCGTCTGTATGTTCGGTATCTGTACACAGAAACAAAACAGGAAATTAGATCTAGAAATATGGGACATGAATAACACAAATATTTCTTAAAGGTGCATTGTGTAACTTTTCTGGTGGAGACTCTATCACCTCTTCTTGGCAATGGAGATACTAGTGCTTTGTCTGGAATGTTTCACAGTATGGTATTAAACCTTTCTATCTTCATGGAGACCAAATCAGTTGCAGGACAGATCTGTGTCAGATCTGTAATTGGATAAATCTAAGATAGAGCTGGTTAATGTCCTGTTAAACATTCCAAGTAGAACAATGCCATTTCCAAAGAAACAAGAAAATGTAGGGCCCCAACTGAAAAGTTACATAGAATTCCTTTAATATAACCAGGCCAAGGTATTATATTTCTTAAATCTAGAACAAGAATTTGTTGCCATAATTTCAGGAGGACAGGGTTTAAATCTCCATATACTCTTTAGTGCTGAATTATGGCACCATTGTGAAATTATTATGAACAAATAGAGAGTCATGTTAATAGGTCATGAAATTGTGCTTGTACACGTACAGTGCAACAAAATGCAATTTTAGCATCTGACCACTGTGCAATCAGCCAGTATGTACATTAGATAAAAATGTGCATGTGACAGAATATTATAAAGCAGAGGTAGTTATACATGAGCATATTGCCAATGACATTTACATTACTAAAGTGCAAGATGAAGTGCATATATTTTCACTTTATTCAGAGATGCAATTCCTAGAAATTATTTATTTACTGTGCTATCATTTGCTGGCTTATAGATAGCACAGAGCCGCACTGTGGTTCTTTAGAGCTCCCATTTTTTTGTTTAATGACACCACAATGTGACGTTTTTGGTCAAACCCTTCTTCAGACATGAGGCTGAGAAAGGCTTGACCCGAAACGTCACATTGTGGTGTCATTAAAATAAAAATTTTGGGGCTCCAAAAAACTGCAGTGAGAATCTAGTTTTGTCTTTGGACCCAGCACGCAGTGGCTACTTTTATTAGATGTGCATGTCTTTATCTACCAGTATGGCTTATAGATGACAGCTCAACACTCTACAGGCCAATAATATTTAATACAGATGGGATCAGATCAAATTCATATTGTTAAAATGCAGATTTTTGTTATAATACAGTTCATTGTTTCTTGGCTCTAGTAACTAATAATACTAATGATCAAGTTCAACATTTATGAATTTACTTTTTTGATATTTCATGGAAAAAAACAATGCAGTCAATAGGGAAATCTGTCTCTTGCCCCCATCTATAATCCAAAAACCACAGATAAAGGTCACACCTTTTGTAGTCATAACATTACCACATATATGACAGTTCAATATATCACAAAGAAATGCAGGGTGGGGTCATTTTGGAAGAGTTATGTTTTTCTAGTAAATGGAACTAACTGCACTACAAAGATTTGCTTACTCAAAACCACAGTCTCTTTCTAGTTAGCCAATAGCACAAACCAGTCTGCCATTGGACAACGTTGAGAGGGCAAAGTATAAGAGCAGAAATCCCACAGTGAGACCTACAGTATATTTTAATGTGAAATGACTCATAAGATGTTGGAAAATTCCTCCAAATCATGTGCTGCTGATGGATTGGATTAAAGGCGCTTTGTAAACTTAAAATGTTATTAGAGTTCCTTTTTCCAGAAGTATTTGACCTCTACTAAATCTTTGTAATGTCCCAGAAGTATGTTTTATCTGGCAACTTTCTGGCAACTTTATTTGTAGTTATAGCACACATAGATTCTAATTCACCGCAATGAAAATAAGTAACTTTATTGCAGAAATTTAACAACTAACACTGAATTAAGTTTGTTCTTCAGTTTGCCAACCCACAAGTATTTATGCAGGTAAAGTAGTCTGCATTTCAGAGCCATTTAAGACTTGAATCCTTCATCTCTTTGGTCTGAGAGCGTGAGAATATGAGGCCGTACACATGGACTATGAAAATACAAACAGGGGCTGAGGAGGAGCAGATGAGAAGAGGGTAGGAGGAACAGTAATGAACAATGAATAAAATATACCTTAAAATATACCTTTAGACTAGTTACCTTTCATTACTACTTAAAGGTGCACTATGTAACTTTTCGAGCCATGTTCCGTGATTGTAGATAAGATAGATAAGTTTAGTAATGCCAGACTGTGGAACATTTAAGGCAAAGCACAACATCTCCATAATGACAAGCACATGACAGTCACTCCACAAGAAAAGATACACAGTGCAACTTTAGGGTACTTTAGTCATGTCTAAGGTTATGTCTAAGTTATTGAGTTATTTTAGATTTTGATTACAGTAAAGTAAATCAGATGTTACGTCAAGTCATTCATTATAAGTTGCATTTTTTCACCCTAAAATACTTTTACTTGAGTGGTCGTTTGAATGACCAATTTTACTTTAATGCAAGTATTTTTGAGAAACATGAATAAAGATGAATAGAGCAGATCTTTCCATGTCTAAGAGGAAGAGCACATGTTTAGTAGACCTCATTCTTGAAACAGTCTGGGGTTTAAAGTGAAGCTCTTAGAAGACAGGGATCAAGACTTGTCAAGGAGAAAGAGGAAACGTTGCCAGTGTCTCAAAACAGAATACAATGCTTTCTTAGTTATTTATCTGCATCCTTTTCACACAGAATAATAATATTTTTAAATGCGCAAGCTATCTTCTCATGTACTTAGATTTTTCCACAATTTGTAACAGAGGATTAGGCCTGACTGAAAGGGAAAACAGACGCACTAAATGGTGCATTTGTGTAAAACTGGTAATGTGAGAATAAAACCATTTCCCTCTTTAACAGATCCTTTTGGGGAATGATTAGCTTTGGTCTGGCCTGTTCTGGCACTCGCCCCGGATTTGGGTTCTCCCCTCCTGACCAGACCACGGTGAGACCAAAAGACATGAAAGAACTGAGAGAGAGGGGGAGAGGGAAAGAGAGAGAGAAGGAGAGAGAGAAAGAGAGAGAGCAAGGAGAGAGAAGGAGATAGATAGAGAGAGAGAGAGAGAGAGAGAGAGGAAGAAGGTAGAGAGAAAGCGATAGAGAGAGACACAGAGAGAGGGGACCAGAGGAAAGAGAGAGATGAGTAGGGAGAGACTGGACATAAGAGTAGAGAGAAAGAGAACAAGAGGAGGTAGAAGTAGAGAGAGGAGGGAGGGGAGAGAAAGAAATGAAGAGAGAGAGAAGATGGAGGGAGGGGAGGGAGGCAAGAGAGAAAGAAAAGGATTGAGAGACACAAAGAGAGAGAGAGGAACAGAGTTAAGAGAGATGGGTGGGGAGGGAGCGGAGGTGAGAGTATGAAGAGAGAAAACAAGCAGGAAGGAACAAGAGAAGGAAAGAGAGACAAGACAGCAGAAAGAGAGAAAGGACAGAGGGAGCGGCAAGGGGGGTTGAGAGAGAAAGACAGATAGAGAGACAGAGAGAGAGGAAATGAGAGTAGAGAGAGAGAGAGAACATGAAGAGGAAGGAAAGAGAGATCAGAGGAAAGAGTGAACAAGAGGCAGAAAGAAAGTGAAGAAAGAGAGGAGCAGAAGGAGAAGGAGAAAAGAAAGGAGAATGAGGAGGAAAAAAGAACGAGATGAGAGCGTATGGGAGAAAAAGAGATAAAAGGAGAAGATACAAAGGACTAGAGACGAGAAAGGAAAGAGACAGAGAGGATGAGGGGACTTCATAGAACAGTACAGGAAGTTATGGCAGATTAGCTGAGATTACAGTGTGGGAATCAAAGGACACATTAAAGTACAGGACTTACGCCACTCTGGGACACTGGCCCCACGTGCACCGCTGGTAATCAGGTTTGATGTACGTCTCTACGCCGTCCTCCATCACACAGCTCACAGTCCGCGTCACCACATACGCACACCAGTTCCTGCACAGAGGTGACTTTGATTTAATGTGCTGATTTTTACTTTAAAAAAAAAAAACGGTTTAAAGGTCCTATGTTACACACAATTGACTTTTGTGAGATTTAAGCCATGTTAGAATGCGGTTTCTTCCTCAAAAACATACTTGGAGTTGTGTTTTTTTTCATTCACACATTTGAGTAATCTTTTATAAGTTTGTCTACATCTCCAAAGCTCAAAATGCTGTGTTCCACCTTGTGATGTCATGAAGTGATAGTTTTCAAGTTACTCCAGGAATGTTTGTGAAAAGGAAAGAACATTATAACATAGATCAGAAAGTATCTAATCTTTTAAAACATGAAGCTGAAAACATTTATAAACACTAAAAAGTCTAAATCTTCATCTGTGGGTTTACTTTTGGTTTCAGTTACTATTAATATAATCAAGTTCTTTTTCTTCAATAAATCAGCAGCCCTAAAATATCATAGATCACTTCAAGATAGCTTCAACAATGGTTAGCTTTGTGTGTACCTCCAACTTCTAACCATGACTTCTGGCAAACAGACTGTATACTTTTACCAAAAAAATACAACATTGTTAAAAACCTGAAATCTGGAAACCACATATTTCCTTCTGTTTTGTTTGGTGAATTTTTGAGAGCTAAGAAAAATAAATTCAAAAATCCCATACAACCACATTATTTAAAGACACTTATAGACAAACACATGTATAAAATAGCTGTTTCTGTGTTTTGTTTTGAATTCTGATGTCGAATAAATCTGATCCAGGCTATATTTACTGGGCTCTGACCCAATACAAAGACAGAGGAGACTTTTAGGCAGCTAATGAGGCCAGGGGGTGAGCCAAAAAACTTCAACTATTTAACCATTTATCAACTGAATTTCAAGTGAAGCTACTATAATATTAAAGTAAAAAATCAATCTCAGAGTAAAAACATTCTTGCTCTCGGTGTCCTTAGTGTCCTTATATGTCTACACTTCCTCTTCTATCTACTCCATCTGTCCTCTCTCTCTCCGTGACCTCTCCTGACCTCTACATTTCTGTCTTCTTAAGCAAAGACCATTCAAGACCTTTTAGTCGCTTCCTCAATCATCATTTTCATATTAAGATCCCGAGCTCCTATTATGGTCAATTACTGTCACTCCAGCATTCATGTTTTATGAGCAGAGAACCATTCTAGTCATTCAACTGGAGATGTATGTAGCAATATATAGGCAATGCTTCACAATATTTTGAATGGTTCACTTCTGAGAGAATGCTTTGTTTTGTTACAGGGGGATGGTGAAGAACAGAGGACATTACAGAGACTAGTTTGGCACTATACTTTCAAATAACAAACCAAAAGAAAAGGGTTGAAACTAAATACCACTTTTGGTACTAAAAAACATTTGGGGGTAAAAACAGAATGCATTTTTTAAACACAAAACACACATTTTTCTATCACCATGTGGTCTTGTAATGTAGCTAATCCATTACAGAGGCCTTGTGCTAGCTAACAGGTGATAGCAATGAGAGAAACAAGCACAGTTTTAAATGTTTATTGAGTCAATGATTAAAAAAAAGTGTGTTTCAGTGAAATGATCTGTAAAAGAAAATTAAATAAGTAAATGGCAGAAGCGCATTTATTTAAGGAATTGTGAGTAAAATTACCCTGTTACTGTCTACCTCAGGTGTTCCGGCTAAAAGAGTCCCTGGGCAGCCGGAGCATCAAGAAGGTTCTGGGGCAGGCAACCATTTTGTTAGGAGGAGGGGGGCACAAATATTTAAATTCTTTTCTATTTAGTATTTTTAAATTAATAAAACACTGCTAAATTAATAAAGATATATATTTTTCGATTTAGATGTAATTGAAGATTTGAGCACTGTTTTTGATATACTTAACTTTTAAACAGTGAATTGAGATGAGTTGTACTTACCTGTTGTTAAAATGAGCTCACCCAATTGAGGGAGGTGTCCTATAAAAGGAGCCAGCCTCACCTGTGTCAAGAAGAGGTGCTGTGTGTGGGTGCAGGTTACTGCAATTCTTGTTTTTAACTGTGTGCTTCTTTTGTAAATATTTCAAATTGTATTTAATTTAATTTTTTTATCTATTTATTTATTTTTTTGGTTGTGGATTAAATACACTTTGGGTCTGCACTGGAAATCATCTCAACTCGACTCTGTTCCTCTTAGACCACTAAGATTGCTATCCGGGCTATAATAGGTCTTGTAGTTGTATTTGCCAGCCCTATGCAACTATTCAGCAAAGATCCAGTTCTATATGAGAAAACATGTTGATGTGACGTCAGCCATTTTGGTAGGCAAAAAGCGTCTGTATCAACAAGTCAGCATCAACATCGTCAACAGTTATTGGCCTATAACATCAACAATCATCATACAGCAGTACAACATCAACATCGTCAACAGTTATCAGCGAGTTTTAACTTTTCAAAGTAACGTTTTTGATCCTCAACATTCAGTGACTTAGAGTAAGATGAAGTCATGTCAAAACAATTAAATGCAAAACCTACTTCAAAAATAAGAGGAGTCAACGCAACTGTCATCACAAACAAGCGGCCCGACTGACTTTTTGTCTGTCAGCTACTGTACACGTGTGGAAAAGCCAGATGTAAACAAAAACGTTTTCTCGTATTCTATTTAGATTTACATTTTGTCTAGTATTGATGCTTCAAATATATTAGTCTATAGTTCATAGTTTTGGTACCAACTAACATCTGTGTATTTTTACAACCCAAACCATGGGCCAAGTCAGTATGTCAGTAACAGTCAGTAATAATGAATGATATTGATACTTTTCCGTAATATCATTTTGGGAGTGTTCTACATTCCATCCCAGAGATACACTGTGGGGTGGAATTTTCAGCAGTTACAACAGAGACACATGCACATATTGGCAAAAAAAAAATACAAAAATGGATTTAAACAATGCATTTTCAGGAGCATGTGATCAATACGAGCGTTAATTTTCCCATTTAAGTGTTTAAGTGATTTTGAACAAAAGTGAAAAACTGCTGCAAGCTACAGTATCTTGTGAATATAATTTAATGTGTGAGAGATTTGTTTAACAGTGCGAATCATTTCACGTGTTGTAGTTTCAGCTAAGTCAACTCTTTATAGTCTTATTGATTTAAAATAAAGCTCAGATCAAAGTCTAAGTTGAGTAAAAGAGTGACAGACAGAGCAGAGCTCACAGGAAATGTTGAGATATCAGCTGCAAAGTATCAGTAGTTTTGTGATGTTACGATAGATTGCTGTTAACTTTTATCTTCTAACTAGTCTACTCTAATGTGGATATTTGGCAAGCTGAGTCCCCCCTTGTGTCCCCCTCTCTGACACACTTCTCTGGGGTCCTGTGGAGGAGGTTCATTCCAGCTCGGGACATGCTGACACAGGCTCTTCATCACGTTTACATCGCCCCCTCCTGACCCATGATACTCAGCTGCTACCGTGCTACACACCTGGATAATACTATTAGATGTCTGATGGTGGTTGATGGTGCAGATTGGGAGCTTCACTTCTGTCAGTCTAATCTATGCAGGGCTTCAGCTTGAAAAATTAATGAAGAAAGAAAGCTACAGTTTTCTCTTAACACTTAAACTTGTAACACTGAGTATATGGAGTCAATAAATAGACTAATGGAGGTGTCCAAATATCAATACCCAAATACCCTGACTAGATTTGAACCCATGTCAAAACCTATAAACTTGTATAAACCAGTCAAAATCTTTCAGGCTTTGGAATGATTTAGATCTAGTAAAAGACCAAAATTCCAAACTGGGACACACTGCGTTGGGATGGTTGGTATAAATAAAACTGTGAAAAGAGCGCATAACATTGTCCAGTCTCGAATTACTCGTGGGTCAGTCGTAATCTGTGGGACTACTGCTGTTGAATTGTTGTGTGTTATGGTCTTTTTCAAGCATGGTTTTCTCTATTTTACCTAAACAAATGACAATATATCCACCTCTTTTCTGTTGGTGGGGCTCAAATTGGTCAAAAATAGGGACTCCTGGGACATTTCTTGTATAAAACTGGGACAAGGCAATGGTTTTGGATAAATCTGCTGGGACAGGGGACACATGGCTCAAAACTGTGACTAAAGATTATATTGATTACTATCCATCCATCCTATTAAAAAGTCATACTGGCGGCACAAAACAGTTTCTCTTGCAGTTAAGGTACACTTTATTATCCTTGTAGGGAAATTTGTCCTCTGTATTCAATGCTGCTGGAGCAACCTGAGGACCCATCTCTACACCTTGAGCTTGATCTGGACTACCATTAAGTTAGGGTTTAATCAATTGTTGAAGATCTACTTTAATATCTGTACCATGATTACCAGGAGTTGACACTGACCTTTGAGTGTATGTTGCACTGGTTCAGCTTTTATGGCTTTAAGGTTCTGTCAAAGCCCGACATCAACCAATACCAGTGCTGGAGACTAAATATAGACTTTATTTTCCTAAAAACTGATTCTATGACAAAATGTGTAATGTAGCGTGTTAGTCTGTGGGAGTTAGTATGTTAGTCTGTGGGTGAATTTGTACAGTGAGCGTTATATAAATCACATGTTGTGGTCGGCGCAGATCTTGATAACTTTGTGTGTGAACATAAATTCCTCCTTCACTTGGATTACATCTTGCTGCTCAACTCTCCAGGGCCTCAGCTACAAAAACAACCAGAGCAGACTACACCAAAAGAGGGAAGGAGGTGTATGCAGCTACTATCTCTGCTATTTTAGTAAAGGGCCCATATTACGCTATTTACTGGTGTTATAATGTTTCCTCATCAAAAACATACCTGGAGTTGTGTTTGTTTCATTCACACATGTTTAACGCACAGACCCTGCATATTTAGACTTCTCTCAAACACTCTGTTCCATCTTGTGATGTCATGTGTAATACAGGAAGTGTTCCACTATGTTTTTAAACTCTGTACACCTTCGCTAGAATCATGTGGATGATTTCAAGCCTTGGATTTTCTAATTTAAACTAAAGGTAAAAGG